CATTTCGAGTCAAATTCATTTGAATCCCACTGAGGTGACACACAAGATCATCAAGAAAGCTATCATTCTGACTCTCGACCTCCAGCGAACCATGATACTTATGACATCTTTCCACTGTTCAGTGACATGACACAGCGCATCTCTTTGTCGACAGAAGCGACAAATGATTATAGGCCAGCTTATTTGGAAAAAGGACTAATTGAACACCTATTCAACCTTCATTGTCAGATGTTTCATCAGCCAACAAACAGATGAGTCAAATCTGATCAAGTGAATGCGTGGCACATCTGTCTTTATTTTTTGTAATGTCATCGTCGGTTCAAAATCTGCTACGTATTATATTTCTATACCTTTCTGTTAATTTTTGTACTTATTGTTTCTGGACAGCTGGTTATTGTCCGTCTATACAGATGAGATATTAAGCCGTACTGTCATATGCACTAGGTAACTAAAATGCCGACAGATGTAATCGGTACAGTTGCTGACCTTTGACTGCGATTGAGTGTTTTGTTTGTGGGTTGGGGATCATTCTGAAAAATGGGAAATTTGTATGAAAACATGGTTTTTTCATACACTGCTCAAGCAAACAAGTTGATCAACCCGGTGACTGACCAGTACCGACGTTTAAGCTCATTTTTCACAGGAGTTTTTCAGAGTGGTGTGGATTGATTTGCGCAATTGGCTCTGTAATCCGCAGCTGTTGCGACGATTCGTTCTGTTGGACCATACAACCAATCCCTGAAGAAGGCCAACGAGAAAAACGCCAAAACGTCAGTAATGGTCTTTCACCCGGTTCTTTGTTGTTTGCTTGTGTTGTGTATGAATAAGTCAAGCTTTTGTACATTTTTCACCTTTGTCAAATCATTGCTTTCATGTATGCAATAAGTTTGGTGATCAGGAGCCACGTAGCAAGAAAACGTCAATTGATGACAGCTGCTTACCTTCAAATGTATTGCTTTGTTGAAATAATAGTCTTCCTGTTCATTCAGGTACACAGAGAAGGAAGCGAAGGGTTCTGGACACTTCGTCTTCATACGTCAGAGGAGAAGAGAACTTGGGAACTTGGCGACCACGTAGCGACTCGCTTATATTCGAACACCAGTGGGAACTGGAGAAGTTGACTCGTCTGCAGCAGGTGAGGTTTCTTCGGTTTGGTTTCAATATGGTGAAGTGGATGTTGAAAATAATCATGTATTGTAAGAGATGGTTACTCATGTTGAAGCCATTCCTGAACATGCAGAGTGCTAAATTTACTGAATCAATAAAGAATCGAGTATTTGTCCCCCCCTGCGATCAAGATCCTTAGCGCTGAGTTTTATCCAGAAGCTGAGTCTGACATTCTTCTGACTGTGAGCATTCCCGGATCAGATCGAAATATCAATGTTGTGATTGTTTATATATGTGGTCGTTACGGCCGACGCTCGGAACAAACCTGATGATGCGGAAGGAAGCATCATCGCCAATAAAGACAACAATCTCTAAGCTAACGAAGTCTTGCGATATATTAGCAGAGGCATCTCTACTGGCCTGTTAATTGATATGCTGACTACTGACATTGTGTTCATGCTATGTTTCGGTTGGTAAGATGCGCATAACAGTAAACATTTCAATAAGGCAATTTTGGGAAAGCTGTTATCAGGTTGCACAAATACATCGGCATGAACTAACGTTAGCATATGTTATTATGAAGTTTGATTGGCCATGTTTTGCAAACGTCCGTATTATTATCTGTGTTAAAGAATTCGGAATCATATCAACTGACGAAAATAAAGAATTAATCCTAACCTGGTCGTCACTGTACTTTATGTATTGTGTAAGCGTACAGCTTTTCGAGAAATTAATTTTCAGCCCATAAGCTGTTGAGTTTATCCTAAATGTCGAAAATGCATCTTCAGTATATTTGAGGATTCCCTTTCAGTTTTCATAAATAGTTTGGACGAGTTCAGTTCTGACTCGTCTCGTCATTGTTTCAGGTCGAGCGCATGCGATTGTTTCTTCGGATTCGCCAACGCTTAAAGCATTGCCAGAACGATCAGCTGGTACCCGGTGAGTGCTTAGTCAAGACCCCGGTGTCGCCGTGCGAACCCAAGTGCATCGTTCCTGAACACGTCGAGCTGACCGATAGAGAGAAAGCGATTGCGTACAAAACGCTGGCTCTGATCAAGCAGCGCATTCCTGTTAACAAGGAGCCGCCAACTGGCTCAAAAGTAAGACCACAAAAATTCAAGTGCTTTTATTGCCGTATATGGGGTGATTTACGGGCTGTTTGCTTAATAACTTCTCTTCACCAGTGCTGAGGGTTCTCTGCTGTGGAGTGAAGCCAAAAAGTTGTCAGTAAACCATATCGTGACTAAACGTTTAACTACCCGTTTTTT